TCTCCTCCTTTCCTTCATCACCTCTCTCCATCCCCTCCCTTCCTCTTCCTCCATCCTGGCCCCGACCGTGCGAGCAGGGAAGTAGAGGACGAAGACGGGAGAGGAAGATCGTATCGAAGCACATGCTCGCAGACGGGGGAGGGGGGAGGCCAGCTTCCTCCCCTCTTCTTCTGTCTCCTCAGTGAAAGATGTGAGGACCACAGAGGAGCACCTGACTGTCCGTCTGTCCGTCCTGTGCGTCCGCCGGCATGCTGAGGAAACTGGTCTGCAGGCGGATCTGCTCCTGTAAGCTGCTGCTCTTCCTCTGGCTGCAGGGACGCTGTCGCTCGTAGCTGAGACAGAAACAGAGACAGAAGAGGTTGTTATCAGTGATGAATGCAGGCGACAGGAGGTGAATGGCAAGACAGAGGAGGAGGAGGAGGGAGGAGGAAGGGGAGGGGGACGCCTGGTGTGTGACGACGGCTGTAAACCCAGGAGGAATGCAGCGTCTCCAGTGTAAACACAGCAGGGTGAATTGTTGGCCTGCTCGCAGCTGGACGTGATGCAGCGGTGTTGTCCGTCTGTGAGCAAAGTTAAGGTCAGGACTGGAGGAGGAGGAGGAGGAGGACAGAGTCAGGCTGCTGGGGAGTTACAGAAGAGTAGTTTGATGTCATGTTGTCTGTTTGTGAGCAAAGTTAAGGTCAGGACTGGAGGAGGAGGAGGACAGAGTCAGGCTGCTGGGGAGTTACAGAAGAGTAGTTTGATGTCATGTTGACAGGTGAACACAGACGTGTCCGTATGTGAGGAGATAGTTCAGATCGTTCTGTCACAACAGTTTGTCTTTTAAATCATGTTTATGATGCATGTTGAGGTGTGTAGTTCACACTGAAGGACATGTAAGATATATAATAATTTAAGGGATACTTTACAGATTTTCAACCAGCTCTATGTCATGTCACTGCGGTGTTTGGATTGTGTGCAGATGAATGGTGTTAGCGATGACACAAAAGACACGTTATGGGTCTTCTGGTGGATTTCGCTGGCAGACGAAAGTGGAATTACACCGTGCTGGTTCGTCACATGATGCCACTGGGCCCCAAAAAACTTTAACCATGAAAAAAAGACGATTATAAATGAGTTGATGACTGTTTTTGAGCGTCACAGCTGCAGCGAAATGACTCATTTCAGTCTGATAACATTTTGAAAGGAAAGAAGAGCCACACAGTGAATTCATTTTATCCCCATTCAAGTTAGCGGAGCGCTAAACCGGTAGTTAGCTGCACTTGGCTACGCTTGGCCTCCGTAAGTCTGTAGTGTGCCTGCTCTCTGGGCCTCGTAGTGTAGCACTACTTGCACCACTAAGCAACTTTCCTAGGAATGTACGGGGACCCCAGCTCCATCGCTACATCCAGGTCTCTTTATACATGGATGTGGCGGATGGTTGAGGAGCTCCAGGGTCTGTCGGCACAGGGGGGCGCCTTAACACTGTTTATCTGTTAAAATCACGGTGAAACAGAGCTGGTTGAAAATTGTTAAAGTACCTCTTAAAGAGCAGTCTGGTTAGGACTTCTGTGCAGCCATGAAACCTTTAAACATGGCATTATGTGATTTTAAAAAAGGGATTTTTGTTTTACTCTTTGTTATGCATGCACGATTTATCGGCTAAATATCGGTCGACATTTGCCTCGTTGATCAGCCTGTCGGCAAATAAGGTGACATTCACTGATGGCAGTGGTCGATGTTATTCTCTTGTGTCTCTGCTAAAAAGCAGAGCTCCAGACTGACGTTGTGCCATCGTCCCGGGGATGTATGAAAACATATTTGAGACAAACAGAGATTTTTCCCGAGATTCTGTCGGGACGAGAGAATGCAGTAAACTCACTGTCGAGGCATTAGAAGACGCACTCTGTTGTTTCCCTGATGATGCCACATTTTGAACAGCAAATCTGTGTTGACATCAGGATGATTGAATGTGTGCTCATTCACAGTAAATAAATAACAACAAAAACAAAACAAACAACATAAAAAAACAGTATCAGTATTGACCCAAAATGTCCCAACTGATGCATCCATACTTTCTGTCAGCATTTTACTGAGCGCTCACAAATATAGAGAATACAGAGTTTTTGCCTCTGGGCCGACTGCAGCCATTGCTGGAGGCTTTGTCTCAAAAACACCTTGAGGGAATTTCTTCGAATTTGGCACAAACATCTAGCCTGGAAATCCAGAAAGATTTAGGGTCTGGCCATGAGTAATGCAAATGGCCCAACACGAGGGGCGGCACCAAGCATGCATTTGTAAATATCACTGCACGCAACTGGATAACACTACGACCAATCAGAACAATACACGGGGTGACGTATACGCTTAGCTATCAGCGGAGCTAACTGGTAGATTAGACTCTTGCCGTATCCGGTCGGCAAAAACGTCCTTCTTGCAAAGGAAAGACTCGAGCGCCGTCTTCTGTTCCTCTTTTAGAGAAAAAGCCAAGTCTAACTCGTTCATTGTAGCGGCCAAAGCCGTTTCAAACAACTGGTGTTCATCCGTAGCCATCTTGCAATGTTTACTGACTGATTCCGGACTTTGTCGTCATCTGTTTAGCTCGCCTCTGGCCCGCCTATATCAGATACACCGATGTGATTGGTGCAGCTCGGCTCCAACGGCATGGGTAATGAGCATCATTACTGATTGCCAGAGTGACTCGCTGAGCAAATTCAAATTGTGCTCTCACGAGAACTCTGGATTTCCAGGGTAGCTAACGTCCACTTCGATTCAACAGTAAATTGATTAGAATATGGAGGTCAAAGGTCACTGTGACCTCGCTGAACATGTTTGGTAATAACTCAAGAATTCATGAGCTAATTGACCTCTCGTTAAGTCCCACCCCCAGGCACAGACTGGCCAATCATAATGTAGCATCAGGCCAGTTCAGACTAGGATCCGACAGCAACACAGCTGTGCTCCATCTTTTCAGATTTCCTTCATTTTCAGGCTGGTTTTGTGGATTTGGAGCTAAATGTTGTGCCTGGGGCACGTCGTGTGTTAATGATACTCGTTACCTGGAGAGGTTGGAAACAGATATACGTTTCTTCCCTGTTCCAAAACCAAAATCAAACCCTGAAAAGTGTAGGGTTAGCTAGCTAGCTACTGAAGATATAGCCTACTGAATGTATACACATGCTGCTTTTGCTTTGTAATGATTATAACAGTTAAACAGTAGCCATTTTTAAACAGGAATTGTGCCCGATCAGTATTATTTCAGCATTGGCAGTATAAAAACAAAATCGGGGAGTGCAGCAAAATGCCGCCTACCTACTTTTGTTTATACAGAATGTGCCTTTTTCGGGGCAATGGGGGGCGTGAGCAAGTAACAAAACGTGTAGCTCAGCGTGTGACGTAAACAGTGACGTGGGAGGGAAGCCGCGGCTGGTCAGTCCTTCGGTGATTCTCTCATAAGTCGGCCCGTCCTTCACCGTCCCCGTCATCTGACGGTTAATGGCCTCTTTGTTTGCGAGGACAAGGAGGGCGCGCAATTCCTTGTCTCCCCAGTTGCTCATCTTTACAGTGTCTGTCAGGTTTGTGTTTCCCTCTTGCTACTAGCTGCTCGCTAATTCCTGCTATCAGCTGTTTCCTGTTTATCCACCGCCAGTGGCTTGCACGTGCGGCGTCATCAACAGCTCCTCCCACAGCGCCTCGGTCTGTTTAGACTAAAAGGGTTCCACCAATATGTCTACCCTACGAGGCGGAAAATTGGGCACCTCGGATCAACCCGCCAATCCAGCTCTGTGTGTCTAAACGCTCGCAGCTTGCCGGCAAAACGGCCCAACATTCACCGAAAATCTGGCAGTGTAAAAGGGGCTAAAGACCGACCCTGCTGTACAGGAACCAGTGAAGGGAAGCAGGGAAACTTTGCTGATATTCAACCAGTTGTGTGTCATCACATGTACGTTGTTTGGCTTCCCCTGCACACACTCAACATCAGCAAAGTTTCCCTTTATATTCATTGTCTTGTGTGGCGATCAGCAGTGATGTGGTGGTTCACTTTTACACTGTGATCTGCAGCCTATAGTTCGGCTTTCGCCTTCTCAGCTCGCCTGTGATGAGATTAAATCTATTGATCAGCAAACTTGACGCAGTTCAGTCCGTAACAAATATTCTGACTCGGAGACGTTGTATCTGATGTTTACACACCCGTCGTGGATCTTTAGACGAGTTTCCTCTGGAGCTGAAGTGCTCTTCATCATGCTGGTGTTCTCCTCCTGCTGTGTTGTGTTTATGTTAACATGTTTAACCTGGGGTGACACACACACACATACACACACACACACACACACTGGGAGTCACCTTGTGTTGGTATTGAGAGGTGTTGCGTCGCGCTCTGATCCTGTGAGGAAGGAAAAAACTGCAACCTGATGGCACATGACTGATGTGTTGGCTGAGTGCCCCGCTGTGTGTGTGTGTGTGTGGACTCTGAATAATGAAAGAGGATTGATTGCAGGCTCGTGCTCACATGGCGCTGCATTGTCCAGAGGTTTCCACAGGGCTGCGGCTCTTTGATTGTTGTTGTTGTTTGTCTTTATTTCCTGAGCTAATTAACAGTCAGCAGAACCTGTTTATTAATCAACATCAGATCCAACACTAGAAACGTTCACATCCTGTAAACAAAGCGATGCAGCACGCTAATAAAGGTTAATGAAGTTTAACGTCAGCGTGGCAGCACAGACCCAGTTTGTATTCTTCTGTGGTGGCTCTGGGCTCCTTACTGGGAACACTGGCCTAATTGTTCAGGTTGTTGTCGGGGCGTTGTGTCTCTGACCTCCTCGCCTTCGTCAGCTCGTTATGTTGGGGATGTAGGAATGTGAGTTATGTCCTGTGCATCAGCTGAATGTTAGCCAACACTTTAAGAGTCCGCCTGCTCTGCGTTGTTAAGATGCTCAGTGGTGGATTTTAACTGGAGACTCGTTGTCTAGTCACGTGACCTGAGCCCTCTGTGTCTCTCCTCTCTGCTCTCCCTCCTCCAGATAAAAACTTCGAGGACGATGACTCGGGGGACGGCGGCCGCTCCTCGTCCTCGTCCAAAGGAGCCTCGCTGTCTGGGAAGAAGACGGTGAGCATGGGATCGTTTCGACGCCCCGCCTCCAGCAGCAAGTCTGCAGGTCAGAGTCCACGCCGCCGTCTGATAGGTCACTAACCGGTCTGCACATCAGTTTAAAACATGTTGCAGTCCACTGCTGCAATACAAGCCCCTTTGTTTTCATACACATATTATTGTTTTACTTTAATTTATTATTTTTATTTTACTTTATTTTATTTTATTTTATTTTGGGGGTTTTTCAGTTTTATTTATTTAGTTTTATTTATTTTGTTAAGTTTAATTTAATTTAGTTTTTTATTTAATTTTGTTTTATTTTATTAAATTTAATTACATTTTTCGTTTAGTTTCATTTGTTTAATTTAATTTTGTTTAATTTAATTTAATTTGTTGTATTTTGTTTTATTTAATTTTGTTTAATCTAGTTTCACTGTGTTTTATTTTATTTCATTTGTTTTGTTTTATTATTTTTATTCAGTTTTATTTAATTTTGTTCAATTTAATTTTGTTTTATTTTATTTTGTTTAATTTGATTAAATTTTTTTGTTTTATTCTGTCTTATTTTGTTTTATTTTATTTTATGTTAAATATAATATTTTCATTAATTGATTAATTTATTTCTCTAATGCCTAATCTTTTTTAACTTGTTGGGTGTCAGGGGAGGGTGGGGGTTGTGTGCTGAATTTTTTTTGTGTTTATTTGCTTAAAAATGTTTTGATCAAGTTTAAAAAAAACAAGCAAACAAACAAAGAGATCCCTAATCTGAACAGTTTCTTAATTTCCACAGTATGTTTTTTTTTTCTTGCTGCAGTGTGAAGTTTTGATCCGTCGTTGCTCGTAAATAAAGCTATTTAATTTTAAGACACTTGTAGAAATAACAACAATAAGCAACAGGTGTAAATATCGTCTGCAGTGACGTAATAAAGGATGTAAAGATGATCTGATTTACACTGATGTCATAACTTGTGACGGTGGTGTCTGCAGGGAGGGACGGGTCTGGCGCAGGAGCTGTGGACGAGGAGGACTTCATCCAGGCCTTTGAGGACGTCCCCACAGTGCAGGTATTACGTCCTGTTAATGTCCCCGTTTAGCCTCCAGAGTTTAAAGGGTGCTGCCTTCCTCTCATCCATCCTCTCCTTCATTCCTTTCCTTTCCTCCACTAGATCTACTCCAACAGGGAGGTAGAGGAGGCCATGACGAAGATTCGAGACGTGCTGTCAGACGATAAGAGGGACTGGGAGCTCAGAGTGGCCGCGGTGAGATTTCACGTTTTTTAATTTTTGTTTATTTAGATTTTTCTGTTTTTCATTTGATGAATAATTTATGTTCAGGTATTTTATTTGTATTTAATTATATTGACTTTTTATTTTTTTTGATTTTTATTATTTATTTATTTATTTATTTATTTATTTTTT